TTCTTTGTTTCTTTATTCTTTTTCCCCCTCTTTCTCCTTCTCTTACCTCTTTTAAACCCAACCTACCCTCCTTCTTCTTCTTCCATCATGCCCTACCCTTCCTTTTTCTCTACGAGCGCCCTCTCTTTGCAGAAATCCATCTTTGGAATTAGAATATCCATACAGGGTGAGGGACTAAATTCTGTGCCGACCCACTCAATGTCATTGGCCAATCACATTTTTGGGAGAAACTTCGAACGTAAATTTTGTTTTGACTCCCAGACGTTTCTTACTCGTAAATTGTTTCTTGTGTTGGACGGTCAGTCTTAGACTTCGGATAAGCAGAGTTCTTCCGACTTGCCCCAAATCAACATCGCGTGTTTCAACATTTCTTACTTTTGACAAAGAATTCTCCTGTTTTTCCCTTCACCATGTCGACACTCGACAAAGACGAATTGGAAGGTAAGGAAATTCACTTTTTATTTATTTCTACTTACAAAAACATGAAATTTACCTTTCTTTTACAAATTAAAGAATTGGTTTTCGCAATTTACGCACTCATTCTGAAAGCGTTACAAAAGCTCCAGACGTTTCGAGCAATCACTTCTTGCCTTCTTCAGGTGATGTGAATTTATCACATTGATTTTCGTTTGAAAGTGTACACAGACTAATCAGATATTATTTTACGAAAAGTTTCATGAAATCTGATTACAAAATTGGAGAAACATTATTTCGACTTTTCCTTGCTTTAGTAAAACAAAAAACAACTTTAATAAATTGATGAGAGAGGGATTTTGATTCTTCTTGAAAATAAAAAATTTGAAGACGAAGAAATTGAATTATTTTGTTTATTTTTTCCTTTTTTGTAACAAAATTTTTGAACCACCTTTAAAATCTTGTTTGAAAATTGATCGTCCAGGAAGTTGAAGGATTTTTACAAAAGAGATTTCGTCTTCGAAGAAAGCTGGCATAATTCGGGTGTAAATATTTTTTCTTTTTTTTTTTATGGGAACGACCCAATGCAACATAAAGTTTACAAGAATAATCTTTACTCTTTAAATTCTTTAATGTATAATTTTCACTCTTTAATTATCTTCGTCTTTTCAGGTTTTATTCTCAAAACAAATTTTTCTTCAATTTAAGGTTTCGTACTAGGAATCTACTTTGGCATTTACTCTTTTGACTCAGCATGATTAAACGGATTCAAAATTATTGAACACGACTTTCATTTTCATTATGAAACAAATCTAAAAAGACTTTTCTAATTGAGAACTGTTTAGACTATTTAGATATTTTACGTTCACTTCCTGATTGAACCGATTTCTTTACAACTGTCGGCGTATTAACTTTGAGCCGTCGGAGTTGATTTCTTTTACGTTCAAACTCACCTTGTGGATCTTTTTGGTTTTGTTCTTAAACACAACCGGTTATATATATATATATATATATATATATATATATAGATAGATAGATAGATAGATAGATATGTATATGTGTGCGTGTATGTGTGTGTGTTTTGCATGAGATACTAATAGATTTTTTTATATTTCTACACAATAATAAACACCTACAAAAAAGTGAATGTTTTTTGAAATCCTTTCAATACATTTTCACCTACACATTAATGCACTTAATGAGGGATTTTGTTCATCTATATACACTCAGACAAGTGTCCAACCAGTGGCACAACCTAAGTTTAGTTCCAAGAGGCTGTCGCACCCCCCACGCCACCTTATTGCACGTTAAAGGTTCGACTCATGTTCAACCCTTGATGCCTAAGGCGTTCCCAAAGGGAAATTGGATAATTTCTGCCACTACCCGCATGTTTGTGTGCGAAGCTTCCTGTTGAGATCTTGTGTGGCTTCTATCGTCATGGGGTTGTACTAACGGAGGTGGTGGGGGTGTATGTGGCGGTGGGGGTGTAGGTGGCGGTGGGGGGTGTAGGTGGCGGTGGGGGTGTAGGTGGCGGTGGGGGTGGTGTTAATGAAGGTGAATGAGGTGAGAGTTGTTAAATCAAATCCGCATTCATGCACGTATACAAGAAATTATACACAAACATCATTTACTTTTATCAAATATATATATATATATATATATATATATATATATATATATATATAATATACGTTCGCTTAAAAAAACAAAAAAAACCAACATTACCCAACACTTTATTCGAAATCTAGAAAAATACAATAAAAATGGAAACAGCCAGACCTGTTTATATTACACTTTTTCTTTTATTTCTTTTTTCCTTTGAAAAGTCAAATTTGAAATTTGCTTTTAAAAAAAAGTGACAATTAGATTTCATTTCAATTAAAATTCAATTAAACAAGTGACAATTAAATTTCAACCCATTTGAACACATTCAGATTATTTTACTTTTCTTGTTAATGTTGATTTTTTTTTCAATGAATGCGTTTTTCAAATGTTAATTTAATGTTTAATTTTGAACTCGATAAAAATTGTTTTTTTTTTTTAATTTTTTCCCTTTTGGTCTGATTCCAAATGTTAAATTTTTGAGTTAATACAAACCGAGATTTTTTTTTCAGATCTACACAAAAAAATAAATAAATAAAATAAAAAAAAAAAATCAGATTTTATAAAATCAACATCTTTCGAATTTTGGTGATATTGTGCGCCGTTTGTTAGGAGAAATCATGGGACAGAAGATAATTTTTGATATGATCAATTGAAATGATTTTTATAAAGAACATTAACTTGTTCAATGAGTGTCGCCTAAGCATCTGACTGGACTTTGTGCCACAATACTAGATCCAGTGATACACTTCATCATTTTGGAAATGAAAAACAGATTTCAAAGGATTATTTTCGTCCATAACCATTTTTGAATTGTATAGCTGGTGCCTATCATGAAACGGAAGCATACAAAAGAAAATTTGGCCTGTTTTCGAGTTGGTGTTCTTTTTAAACAATTCTGAAAAGATTCTTGGTCGTTAAAGAAAAACTCAACAAGAACTTTGATCTGGATAGAAAAAATGATAATAAGAATTGTTGAAGATCAACTGGTCAGACAGATGACCCTAAATAATTGTTTAAGATCAACTGGTCAGACAGATGACCCTAAATAAGGGTTCAGGTTCGGCTTGTCAGACCGATGACTGATCAAACCGATGACTGATCAGACCGATAATTGTGTAAGCGTAACAAGTAAAACAGATGTCTTTACTGATCACTTCGACGGATCAAACAGATGATCCCAACTAATTATTCAAGGTTGACTTGGTCCAAATGATGACCCTACTCATCATTCAAATTCGATGTGTTAAGATCAATGAACCTTGCTAATTATTATAGTTCGACTGGTCAGTCTGATGATCCTAACTAATTGTTCAATCTTCAGTGGTTCGACAGATGACTCAAACTAATTATTCAAGCTCGACTGGTCAGATTAATGACCCTAATTGTCCAAGCTCGACTGGTCAAACAGATGACTATTTACTATTCAGGCTCAATTGGTCAAATAGATGACTAACTAATTATTCAAAATCAGCTGGTTAGGCTACTAAATATTCGAGCTTCACAGGTTAATCTGATGACCTTACTTATTTAAATTTGAATGGTCAGACTAATGACCCTGCTCCTTGTTATATTTTTTTCGAATTTGCTTAAGTTGATAATTAAAACCAGTCTTACTCTTGCCCAGTTGTGCATTTTTTATTCGCTGGATTTTGATCTCCATACCATTATGATTTCATTTTTAACTGCCTGTGTTCGCAATATCAGCCAAATTCTATAGCTTTGTCTTAAAGCTCAACCTTTGCTTGGTTGATGATTGCAATAAAACTATCTGTATTAATAACCATGTCTTCCATAGTCCTTAATTTGTATAATCGTCTAAGAACCATTTTCAAACCAGAGCTCTTTATTTTTTGTCATTATTTTCAAACCAGTCTGGAGATCCAGTGACAAGTCGCTTCAGTATCCCCTATCACTTTCTTCGGGACTGTTCTGAGTACGCCAATAATAATGAACATAAATATCAATTTCATGTTTCATAATTTCTTTGGTTCTTGGGCAAAGTCCTGGTACTTTGCCAGCATTTTTTTTAATTTTAAGCTTTGCACTGTTGGAACGACATGCACCAACCGGAAAAAAATTAATTTGTTTGCGATAAAAAGATTTGTTCTATTGATATTACTAGCATAGTACCCGTAAAAATATTATATATGTATGGATTAGCATGTACGTAATTTTTACTTTGTCATATATATATATATATATATATATATATATATATATATATATATATATATATATATATATATATATGTATGTATGTATGTATATATATATATATAAAAACTTAGTATCAGAGTAATACGGGATAATTTCAAGCAATATAGGGAATAAAATTCAAACATATGTGCCTAAACGTTAGAGATCGATTTTCTGGGATTGTAAATCCCAATTGCGCTAAAGAGTAAGGTCGTGGATCAACCCGAGGCGTTTGCAGCAGTAGGCATCTGGCTACGATTTGCGCCTGCGCATGGCACTTGAAATTAAACTCAACCATCTGTCAAATTTGAACATTTCGTTCGGGAGGTGAATAAACTCATCAACATTATTCTGTCTGAATTAAGGAGAATATATGCAGAGAGGTATTTCTAATACCTGCTCCTGTCCCCATTCAGCAATAGAATCTGATTTATCGCTATCATTATTTCTATCCTAAATACTTTCTAGATAATTAATGTACCGGCGTAGTTGCTATTGCCGACGTATGGATTTACACTTCTGCCTACGGTTCAAAGTGTAATTGTTTTTCTTCATTTCTGTAGCACTTCTTTCGAGCAGTTCACGGCAAAGTGATGCGGAATGCCCAGTTCTAGTGATTCCCCCCACCCACCACCAACAGATTATTCTATTGCACCAACAATGCCAGTATGACTGGTCGCGGAGATTGAAGAATGTTGTTGTTCGATAATCGAATCGGGATCGAAGTGCAGTATCTCTTCCTTTTCAGTCGAGTTCTCCTCTTTGGGTTGGAAGAGACAAAAACG